GCGTACGGTATTGACATGGGAATCGAATGCAGCCACGTGGTGCCTATGAGCGTGTCTCCCCCTAGTGGCCGACCACAGCATTTGTAACAGCTGGCTGCTTGCAGCCACAGGATGGACCTCCCTGGTCCGGCACCCTTCGGGCCTGACTGGGTCCCAGATGCAGGATTTTGCCAGATTGGGGAGGTCGTTTCTGGCCCCCTCACTGTCTCGCCTAGTCTTGGCTTGGCCGCTGTTCTCCTGGGTGGCTCCCCACCTGCTGCTAACCCTACTGCCGCTGCGGCTCCCTGCTGGACAGACGTGTGCTGCGGTTCCAGGCCCTGATGGGCAGCCACGGGCCATGGCTCCTGGCCCCCCCGGGCCGCCGCCCCCATTGCCGCGGCTCCCAGCCCCACCAGGCAGCCACGTGCCGGGTCTCCCAGCCCCACTGCTGAATGCTGGGTGGCCCTGTCAGCAGCTCGCTGCTGGCAGCCCTCTGCACTGCTGGCCCCGCAGGGCTCCCTGGTCCTCTGACATGCATGGCAGAGCACAGACGGTTCTGGACCAGGGAATCCCGGTTTAGAGAGTTCCCATCTGTAGCTGAGCTATACCCTTAGCTGAAACAACTCTGGGCTCTTCGTATCTGCGGCCACAACCAGCTATTGAAAAATCTAGCACGGAGAGAGCTGGCACTGGGCTTCCATCAGGCATCCGGCTGCACCCACTCGGTGCCGTGAGCTCGCAGCGCCGATGCCTAGTGACTCCCCGCGGGCCCCTGACGTCTGCCTGCAGCTCCCCGTGTCGGGCAACCAGGGGGCGCTCGAGAAGAGCAAAACAACGTTTATTTCTCTTATACAAGGCGGGAGGCGGCGCAGGCTGGGCTGGCGAGCTGGCTTGCTAAATTACACAGCCGGCTACGTCCGTCTCCGGCCAGTTGAAGTGCCGCGGAGTCTCTGAGAGCCAGGCACTGGCCTCACGGTCCGGTCCCGCTCGCCCGCGGCAAGATGAGGCGGCCCAGCTGCGGTGGGAACACCCAGGGGTGTTACCGGGCGGGGGAAAGGGGAGCGGTTATGGCTTTGCATCCTTAACTTTGGTCTAGAAGCGAGAGCCTGAGACAGACAAGGCAAGGGGGGAGGGTGTCTGCAGGAATAACTAACTTTACCCGGGACAGTGGGGCACACGGGACGGGAGTCCCAGCAGCTCTGCAGGTGGCGGCCTTGGCTGGGGCAAAAGGCAGCGGCGGAGAGGCCCAGGCGGCCACGGCAACAGTTCCCGCTGTGCCCCTCTCTCTGGGCGCAGGCCCCTCTCCGGGGGACGCTCTGGCCTCTCGCCCGTGCGCTCATGGCGTGAGGCATTTGACTCCGGCATCCTCGGCGTGGCCGCAGTTGGTCTTCCCCCAGCTGGAGAAGCTGCACTGGAGCAGGCTGTCCTCCGTTCCCTTGCAGGCCACATCGTCCATCCAGATCCGCCCCGTACCTGGGGAAACACGGGGACAGCAAGGTTAGCTGCAGCGCCCGGCCGCCTCCTGCGGGGAGCCCCCTGCAGGCACCGCCTGCCCTTCCTCGGGGCTAAGGAATTCAAGCGCCGAACCCAGCGACGTGCCTTCTGCAGCCATCAAGGCACTTGGCGCACCGGCCCGGGTTGCCACGATCATATCACCGCGTGGCACGTGACTGGGTTTTAAGGGAGCGGGTAGGTCATTGCTGTGCCCGGGGGGGGTGTTTGCCCCAAAGTCAGTGCAAAGGGGGCCGTGTGAGGTGTCAAACGAAAGCCTACGCTCTGCTGATTCTGTGTGTGCTGCCCATGTGCGTGTGCGATGGTTGTACGTGGAGGTATGAATATGGGCTCTGTGCTGGTGCTGGCCGGTTCACTGCCTGAGACCGAGCAGTGGGCCTGGACTTCCTGTCCAGTGAATGACTGTGCTAATTAGCCCGGCTCCAGGGACAGCGGCTCTCAGGGTGGCCAGTACACACCTGAGGGATGCCTCTGGAAACCTGCAAACCAGCCAGGGCAGAACGGCGGCTGACATGGGAAACACAGACAGGTCACTTGGCCATGTGACCCGCTCCAGCGTGGGAGACACCAGGAATGGATATAAAGTGCCATGTGGCCGTCCCCGTCTTGTCTTCAGTCTTGCTCTTGCTTCCGGATGCAGCCTTGCGAGGGACCGAGAGCCGGGGAGGATTGCTGACCCGTCTGGATGTGCACCAGCCAGCAGTTTGTAACATCTCTGCTGGGAGCCTGCATCGAGAACTGGGGGATTCGATGCATGTCATGTATTCTCCTAAACAACCTCACTCTCGTGCTTTTCTTCCTTTTGTTAATAAACCTTTAGATGCTAAAGGATCGGCTCAGCGTGATCTTGTGAGTAAGATCCAGAGGGTAAATTGACCGAGGATCTGTGGCTGGTTCGTTGGGATCAGGAGGATCCGTTCAGGTGAGATTGGTCCTAGAACCCCTCACCGGTGTGTTAGGCCTGAGGCTGATTGGGGCTCAGGGAGAGCTGGGATGTCTGAGGGGTTTTGTTCATGAGGCTTCCTGCTGGCCAGATTCCTGCGTTCCTCTTTGTGATTTGCTCTTGCTGGCGCCCGTATTAGGAAGGCGGGATAAAGGACCCGCTGAGTGCGGGGTAGGTTCTGGAGTGGCTGAGGGGATACAGCATTTGCCTGGGGTGTACAGGGTTGGGTGTTTGAGTCCCCCCCACCCTGGGAGCAGCCAGACATGCCACCCCAGGGACGGAGCTGGCTCCTGCATTAGGAGGGCAGGCTAAGGGACCCGCTGGAGATGGGGTGGACTACGGGATAGGGCGTCTGCCTCTGGAAATGGAGCACGCACTTGATCTCGGAGCAGGGAGACCCCCAGAAAGCCAGGCCCTGCCCATCCCATAGGCCCCTCATGTCCCTGCAGAGAAACGCACCTGAGGAAAGGTACGTGC